AACCAACTTCAACTTGTTGATGTATATAATAGTCATGATGCCCCACCTCACTTCCTCCATCATTGTTATGATAAGTTTGCACCTTGCAAACACAATGTTCATATTAAATATCTCACAATGGTCATGATGTTTGCATTCAACTGAGGTGTGATTGTTGATCTTGCACATTCCCATAACAAGTACTTCATTCTCCTCTCATTCCATTACTTTGAGAAGTTCTGACACACATGTCATACACAAAACATATGGTTTGGACCTGTCATTACTTTCTACAATACATGTTTAAGACCTTACATATATAAGTCACATTGATCCTTAAGTTTATTAAAATTATATTAATAAGTTCATATAATATGTAAATTAGCACAAATAAGTCTTACATGAGTTATTATCTTTTACATGTCAAAATTAATACTTTATCCATGTTGCTTGTAGTCTCCCAATTCTTCATATAGTAGTGTGACAAATCATTTCCAATTATATTTGTTCTTTATATTAATCACTCCATATATTATAACTCAAATATGGTTGTTTACATCTTGACCAACAACAAAAAAACAAATGTCCTTTTGATGCATTATTTCTATTTGGTTTGTTACAAATGCAATCAATGCACACCAATCAATTTATTGAGTACAATTTAGATCAATCCCATGAGGATTAGGGCCAAGTACCAATATCTCTTATTTAGACTTCTATTTTAACTAACAATGCAATGAAAAAACATATCTTGTAGAAAGAAAAATAAAAATACATTAAATATGTTTGTACTTTTTGTATAAGAGAAATAAATTCAGAAAATATAACACAAAGTAATGAGAATTCAATGAACAAAACTAGTTAGTATTTTATTCACTTTATTTGTCTCTCATATATTGTAAGTTATCTCATCTATATCATTTCTCATACAATGAAAGTTAAATTCTCTAATATCAAGGAAGTTCCAATTTCTTAGTGTCACAACCGGGCAGTCGCAACAGTACGACGAATAACATTTTCAAAAAAAAATCAGAGGAGTTGCCACCAAAGTTTATTTCAAGAAAACTTTAGAAAAACTTTTTAAATAATATGATTTTTGAAACCAAAAATGAGTTCGGGAGTCATTTACGTGTGAGGAAGGTATTAGCACCCCACAACGTCCGTTTAAAACGGTTACCTAAAATTAATTGTACAAATTTATTTAAATTCTGAAAAATATTTATTTAATCCCTAAACATTAATTATTTTATTTTAGAAGAAGAAATATTATTTATTGAGATATTATTTGAGTTATTTTGAAAATTATTTTGACTTGACGGGTCTGGTTCCCGCTCCTACGTATCCCTGGGTGCAATGGAGAACTCAAAGTCGCGTAGTTCTATCTAAAAAGTTATGAGATTGGTTAATTAAAGTTAAGTTTAGTAAAGAAAATTTATTTTAAAATTAAAGTTATTTTTGTAAAATTATAATATTTAAGATATAAGATAACACGGTTATACATGTATCTTACGAGAAACAACATAGAAAGTGAAGGAAAATCACACAACTATATTGCAAATCATTAAAAATATTTTATTCGTAATTGAAGTATTTGAATTTAATTTTGATTATAATTAATGTTGAAAGAGAATTTAAGATATTGTAAGTTATACATAAATTTCTTATAATTTATTGAACAACCTAAGGAAATGTAAATCACACATCGATATTTGTATAAATAAGTAAGAAAGTATTTAGTTAAAATATGACTTAAGAAAAATTATAATACGAAAGTAATTCCATTTAATGAAAAGAATAAACATATCTAAATTGATTAAAGAAAATAATTATTTAATGAAAGATTAAATTTTATTTGATAAATTTATATCGCGTGGGACCTAAGGTAACATTGATATACAAAAATTTTAACAATTTAAAGTGTATAAAGGTAGAGACGCTACACAATAACACTATAAATCGTTGCACTAATATAATAAGAATGTTATAGATGATAGATTTTAATTAATAAAAATAATAATGATAAAATTGATTACTTTAGAAATCGGATAAGATTTTTAATATGTTAATATTGAGTAAAACCTAAGGTAATGTTAGTATACAAAAGTTTTATCAATTTATAATACATGACGGTAGAGTAGCTACATGTTAATGTTATAAATTGATACAAATATTGTATTATCTACTTGTTTAATTTTAGATAAATTTTTGTTATAGTAATTTTTTTTAATAATTTAGCATAATAATAGAAAAGAATAACACACAAATTTACATGAAATTATATTTGTATCATACATATAAATGAATGGCTAAATAAATGAAAAATAAAATAAAATAATATATATATATATATATATAATTTGATTCTTCAATTCATTTATATCTATCTCATATTATAATAATAATAATAATAATAATAATAATAATAATAATAATAATAATAACTTGAAAAAAATATAAAAAATAAAAATATATTAAAATTTAATTACTAAGTAACAATAAAACATGAGATGATACATTAAAAAATTATTATTTTATTATTATATACACAATAAAATGTCTAAATTTGTAGTACAAAATAAATGTTCAAATAAAACGTTAAAAGAAATAGAACAAACTTAGGTATAAAATTAACCGCAACTAAAATCTATTTTAATAATGATACCTAAATATCTAATAATAATGTATATTTTTGAAAAGAAAAAAAAAAGAAAAAAAAAATAAATTGAAACATGCATAAACAGGATGACAAAACAAGGAGTGTTTGGATGGAAATTTGAAAAGCTAAAATAATCATCCAACATATTTAACGTGTACAAATGGAGGTGAGGATGGGATACAGACAAAACATCAAATCCAAACTAACTTTTTCATTCTTTTTATAGAAAAATGATTAGACTTTACCGTAAAAAAAACTAATATATGAACGTTCAGAGTCACGGGTGCATAGTAACTTTCACACAGCAATTTTCAATAGAAATGAAAAGCACTTATATACCATCGATGTGGAATAAAATTAGAGAGTAAAAAAAAAAGATCCTTTACCTGGAAGAAGTGTTGTTGTGCGAGAGCTTAAGGAGATAATGGAGTAGAGCTGCAGTGGGTGGGTGATATTAACCTCTGTTAAAGATGATTTTTCTTCCTTTTTTTCTCAGTCTTCCTCTTCAAAATGTTACTCTTTTTTTTGTTTTTTGCAAACCAACTTGTTGCTACCTCTTGAAATATTTTTCTTTCTCTGAAATCTTGTTTCTTCTCCAAAATTTTTTCCTTTTTTTTCAAAAACGTCCGAACCCTTCTCTGAAAATCTTTTTTGCTTTGCTTTTTTCTCTGAAAAAAAAGAACCCTCCACCACATCTCTTGCTTGAGATTTTATATTGGGTTCATTAGGGTTTTTACAAAATGTCAAAATCTGATCCTTTCTCTTTTCATACATTCAGTCAATTTTGAAACTGGGGTCTCAGACTGCATAGTGCAGGGATACTGTTTCCATGAACCAATCTCTCCCTTTTTTCAAAATTTTCTATTTCTCTGTAAAACAATTTTATTTTATTTTTATAAATTAAAAAAAATTTAGAAGCCATTCCAGAAATACAAAAATTGGTATTCACACTTAGGCCAAAATTCCCTATGCAATTGACCCAAACTTCCTAATTCCTTAGAGTAAATGAATTAATATATGCATTATAGTTTAAGAATTAAAAAAATTCATAATCATTGAACAAATTCCTCAATATTTAAATAACGATGGTAAATTTTTATATCAAACTCAAAAATTAATTTTTTTGTTACAAAATTAAGTTTTACATCATTTAAAGTTGGTCAAATTAAAGAATGTATTAAGTGCAAATAAATCCGCTCAATTGCACAAAAAGAAGGTAAATAAGAATGAAAGTTTATTGGTAATATAGGATAATTAAATAAAAGTTCTTCCCAACTTTAGTCTTTGTGCTATTGTACTTCATTAGCTTAAATATTTTGTCAAGTGGTCCTATAATCAATAAAATAGTAAAAATTAGCGTAATTCTCATATAATTTGAGTTAAAAAATTTAAATATTCAATAACTTAGATAGAAATTACAAACATTAATTATTTTATAAATTTGGCTAAGAAATTATACAAATTATAGTTAAATAGCCTCTAAAAAATGTTAAATACATGTCAAAATATAACTTAATTGTGATTTCATCACCTCTATAATAACTTTTTAAAAAAGTTCTATCAAGACCATTGTAGTAGACCATTGCTAAGGGAATTGTATAAATCTTCATAGTGGATCTAACATTGCACTTTAAAAACTCATAAGAACAATCTCATAACTTTTCATACTCTTCTTCAATGATCTTCTTAACCTTCTTGAAAGACCTATAGATTTTTTTCTTTTAGTTAAACACTATACATGACTTTTATGTAATTATAAACTTGTCCATATTTTATATTTGTAGTACTTAACTTCTATAGTAGTTTTCTAGTAACCCTTCTATGGTCAGCTTGACTGTTTTGAAAAATTATACCATATGTATGATCCAAGTTAAATATCCTGATATCATAATTGTGTCTAACATTATTCTTGGTATAATATGTCTCCTGATCACATAATTTACTCTTGCATTTTGCCTGAATTCTTATCTTGTCATTCTTCACTCATCTTATCTCTCTCAACTAAATTGTGTGATCCTTCACCTCTTGCTTAAAAGCCTCCAATGTTGCAATCTCAATCCCCAGTTCCAATGTAACATGCTTAAATGTAGCCTTCTTATTGAATTAAGGAAACACAAATTTTGATGTTGCTTCAACATCTAAAGTGGCAAGGGTCTTTAACTCTTCAGATATCTAAGAATTATTCTTCACCTCAATAGATTCAATCTTATGATAAAGGGTCTTGTAACCAACTCCCTACAAACCAACAACATTAACTTTTGCATCTAAATCATTTTCAGTATCTATAACAGGTCCGTGTTTCTTTATAACTTTCCTTTTTTCCTTGTTTTGAAACTTTTTTTTTTCTCTTTATTTATTTATTTATTTAGTTAGCTGAATCCCTCTACCAACTCCTTCATTATGTATAATTTTTTTCTTTCCTTTCATGCTCTCTCCACTCTTTCTCTGGTGCATATAGTCTTCATTTCAAACACGACACTTTGTTTCCCTTTCTCAACTTTCACATCCTCTTTTTTAACTCCTTTTGTTTACCTTTGTCCTGACTATACAATCTCTAACTATGACAACTTAGTATGATATTATTTCTTGGCTTATTCTATGGTGTATACTTCTCCCTAACTCCGTTTTTTGGTTTTTGCTCAACCAGATCAACACTACCTTTTGTAGATGTTTCACAATCAATACTATCATTTCCTTCTCCCTTATTAAAATTGTTCAATTCTATGAACTCAGCCTCACTTAATAAATGTTCATAATACGCATGTATGTATCTACTATTCTTCTTTGTAACATACATCATTTCTAATATGTCTGAATCAACCTTTAGCTCTCTCTTAACCCCTCTCCAAAGTTCTTTGTAATATATAATCAATTCTTGATATCCTAACTCCTTAGTAATTAGTGATGCCAAAAGCATCCACTATGTCTTCATCATAGTCTAGCTAAACTTCCACCTTGTCTTATAAATAGTTTTTTCCTTTCTCAATTTTCTTTCACAAACATACCACTATGGTGTACATGAATGACTATTACTTGCACTCAAAAGACACATACAATAATGAGATGTTAATATAAAAAAAACTCTCACATCTTTAGTCACAGAAGAACATTTGTAGGATTTATTGATATGAGAGCACTTTCTTTTTATATAAGATTCTGATCAAATAAAAAAAATCCATCATTGTCTAATACCAACAACAAAATTAAAGACCACACTCCTACCCATAATACTCACTTATTTAAAAATAAACAAAACATCATAAATGAATAAATCAAGGGACCATACCCATAACTCATAATGTATAAAAATATTGTTATATTCTAAAATACAATCAAACCATTAATTTAGACCTAAGCAAATAACTTTGTACCCTAAAACTCAAAAATCAAATTCCAACCAACTATAATATTAACATACACACAAAACACACTAAGAAACTTGGTTATATGTTCGAGTCATATACTTCTTCACCCATACTTTAAACTATATTAATATTTTTAATAGAATAGTATTAACATTTTTATATTTTAACCACATAATGAATATTCTGTAAAAGTATTACAATAATTGATAATGTCATTAACAAAAACAGTTTTTGTATTATTACATGAGACAATAAGAATGGGAGAGATCATGACGATAATATAGAAAATTAAAAAGAAAATGTTGACACTAAAATTAATCCTAGCTCTCATAAAATTATTATTATGAACTTCTTTTAAGAAAAATCAACCGACAACTTCTGAATCTGACCAAACTTTTCCCTGGAAAGAAATTATAGCACTCGAGACTCGAGACTCTTCTTAGAAATAGACGAAAGAATGGACTATTATTGAAGCTTACGTTTTGTAAGTCACAGAGTTTAAAATTTTACCACAAATATATTTATCTGAGTTGGGTATTCTATAGGATGACAAATGTTAAATTCATTGCGTGTTTTGTACGAAACATAAGATGATATTATTTTATGCAATACAAAACCTTAACGTTAATTAAGTAATGTTTAATGTGACAATCAAACAAAAATAAAAAGACATTCTTACCACCCACATACATTCATGCATATTTATCTATCTATCTATAAAAGAAATAGTATGATTGGGATCCAAAGTCTACCTACCATGTAAGTACAGGCTAGCACTAAGGTGAAACATATGGATGTGTGTTTTTCCTTTTTCAAAATTAATTTTCGCACATCCCTTTGAATATAAACTCCCATGGTTTAATACAATTTTTACAATTTTATACTTAGTTCTAACTAAATCTAAAATGAACGAAAATTTATACCCATGTATTGCTCATACTAGAACTAGATGCAGAATATGGCGTAGATCTTCGGCCACTTCTTTGCAAACCATGTAACAGAGAAGATTGAAAAGATGCGTGACCCAATGGTACTGGCCTCTCAGGTAATTTGGGAATGTCAATGTCACCCTCTAACATCTTAAGGGCCTCAGCAATGGTAGGTCTCAGCGCCACCACAGCATGAGCACAAAGCATTCCAACAAGAACGAACCTTTCCTTAATTTTTGCTGGCCCTTCTTCTCTTATAGACGGATCAAAAATTTCCTCTATTTTTCCTGATTCCACAAGTGTCCATACCCAATCCGTGATTGAATCAGCGTAAGCATTCAAAGTAGAAAGCACTTTTCTTCCACTCATGATTTCAAGAATCACAATACCAAAACTGTACACATCACTTTTCTCTGTTAGTTGTCCATATAGAGCATACTCTGGTGCCACATAACCATATGTGCCAGCAACCCTTGTTGTGACATGAGATTGCTCTTCACTACCTTCCCTAGCCAAGCCAAAATCAGCCAATTTAGCATTCATTTTTGAATCCAGAAGTACATTGGTGGCCTTTATGTCACGGTGATAAATTGGGGGTTTGATTTCATAGTGCAAATAAGCAAGCCCTTTAGCCACATCAAGTATTATGTTCTTTCTTTGAGGCCATGTTAACCTATTAGCCCCAGAAAGAGACAATTGGTAACAGAGGTTCCCATTAGGCATATAATCATAAACCAGAAACCTCCTTTTACCTTTCAATTTATCACTTGAAATGCAACAACCCCGAAGAGCGAGCAAATTCCTGTGCTTGATTTTGCTTATGATCTCCACTTCATAGCAGAACTCTTCATCCCCTTTAGTCTCCAATTCAAAATTTTCCTTAATTGCAACCGAAGTGCCATCTGAAAGTTTCCCTTTATACACAACCCCATCACCACCTTTACCAGCCATATTCTTCTCCGAAAACTTACTTGTGGCACGTTCAAGCTCTGATATATCAAACCATTTCACACCAGTATTAGGCAAAACACTGGCCCTGACATTGTTCTCAATCTCCCTATGATAAACACTTTCCTTCCTTCTCTTATCCCACTTCCTGCACACAATTATCCCTACAAAAACAAGCAGAACACAAATAACAGCACCCAATGACGCAAACCCCAGCTTCAACACTTTTTCTTTGTTATCTGAAGACCCTTTTGTTTCCGCACTAGACACTTGTGGCAGGCCCAGTATGCAACTAGTGGTGCTTATATCAGTTACACCAAACTTATTAACAACAGCTGCAGCATATAACACTATAAAGTAAAAACATTTTATGGGACTAGCTTTTGGGTCAATTTTGGTCAAAAGAGAAGTAACTTGCTTGCCAGCATCTGCACAAATTCTGCAACGAGTTTTATCCTTAAGGTCACCATTGCAAGAAGAATCTAATGCGCTGTCGAACCCCACCTTTTGCTTCCAATCTTGGGTAGTTATAATCCCTGCACAACTTGAAGAGTTAACAACAAAAGTTGAGGGGTTAGGGAAGCAAGAAGGGACAATCTGTGGTTGGATCGACAAGGCTTTGAGCCGGAGTTTGAAATCAGACAAGCAAGAGGAGGAAGTGTTTTCATCAGAAAATTCAAACATGGAAGTGTCTTTGAGGCGTTGAGCAAGGCCTATGCCAAGGACACTACGCAGAGTATTGCAGCAGCGGTTTTTATCAATTGGGTCTTTGCATGATGAAGTGTTCCAGGGAATGGTATCAACGTAGCTGAGATCCATGGGGCAAGAGGAAGATTCAGCAACAGCTATGAGAACTGTGAGGAGGAACACGAGGAGGTGAAGGATCACCTGCGTGGCCATTTGTGAGTTTTTGATGGAGACCCAACATTTGTTTTGGAACCACTCAAACCTTAAAATAAAATTCTTAATAGCCAGTTTCGGAGAAGTGGGGTTTTACCAGTCAACCATTGCTTGCGTTAGTGAAGACGCACATTTTGCTTACTTTTGAGGCCACGGACTATAATTGCGTAAGCTATCTCCTGTAAGGTTGAAGTAGACATGCGTTTTTTGTGCATCTCACGCGGTTTCGAAAACAGGATAAGTCTCCTGCTTTTACATTGAAATGCACGTGAATTCAACTTTTTTTTTTTATTATATATACTTTTTAAGTACTTTTCAGCACTCACTCACTCTAGTTTCTTATTTTGGTCCACCTTGAAGTCAATTTCTTTTTATTTACATTTTAATTTGAAAGATTCCGTTATATTCATATATTTTATAATTTTGTACACACTTTATAGTTTTTAAAAATTATTTGCTCAATTTAGATAATTTTAAAAAAAAATTCTTATAAAGAAAGTAGTATAAAAAATAATAAAATTTCTTTTATAAGAACTTTTATGAGAAACATTTTGTTTATTTTTTACAGTAATTTATTTTTTCTTATAAGAATTTTTTTAAAAATTTATCCGAACTGAATCAATCTATGGATATTATTTTAGTGTTAGTGTGATTTAAATTACCGATGAAAAATCACGTTTTAACCATACATTGTGTAAATATTTTTTTAAAAAATCAATTAGGATAAATTTAATTTTGTTTAGATATGTTCAAGGAAATTTAGATCTAAATATTTTTAATCCACCTATAAAATTTATTTCTTTTAATTTTGTATTTATAAAAAATAATTTATAACCGACTCTTTAAATAAAATAAATATTTTTAAATGTATTATTATTATTATTATTATTTCATGTTATAAAGTTATTATCTTATATTTAATATTTTTTGTTTTTGTTTGTATATCCATGTTTCTATTTTAGTTTTTATATATATAAATAATTAAATTAACTCCTTTATATATATATATATATATATATATATACACACAGAGAGAGAGAGAGGTTATTCTATAAAAAAATTTAATAATGTATCATCACTTCATAAAGACCTAGCTGAATTAATGGAGTAGTTAAGGTATTTTTCACATTTATTATTACATTTTAATTAATTAAATATTATTTTTATTTTTTTAATGTTGATAAATTTGAATTTGAAATTTTAATTTTTTTATATTTATTATTGCACTTCGATTAATTAAATACATTTTTCATGTGTTGCAATGACGATGAATTTGAATTGTTTCAAATTTTTATATTTCTTTTTTTTTTTTTAACAAAAATAAAAGAAAGAAGTTTATGCACTAATATCTATCATAAATGGTCCCAGTCATTTTGAGTTATAGTAGATGAAAAACTATACAACCCAACCTTAACATTAACATAATTGTTCGAATATAGCTAACTCTTTTAGTCCCTTGATATATGACAAAAGGTGAATCAGTGTTGCAAGAGCTCTCTCTTCATGAGAACTCTTTTCACGCTGTAAATTTAAATATCAATATGTCGTACAATGTATAAAGACGTCAAAATCAGTCTCTTTATAAATTAAATAAATTTGACCAATATTTATTTTAACTTATGAATCACTTATTTATTTTTCAAAATTAATTGAATTTAAACGCACTTTATTGTAAAATTTTAGTATATTTTATAAAAATACATAAAATATTTAATTTTTTCTTTTTAATTTAAATTTAAAATTTGAGTAAACTCTCGTATTAGTCTCTCTTTTCTTTTTGTTGCATTTTATATTAGTCTCTAAAATTATAAACGTCGAATAAATTTATTCTTAACATATTTGAATGAGCGCATAAATCTTTGACTTTATCCAGCCTTAACTCTAATTCAACTAACCATTTTTGTTGTAATGATATTATCTTTTTCTTATGTATTACTCAAGGTTGTTTAAGTGACTAAAATGACATTATTTCACGGTTATTCTCTCCTTCTGTATAAAGATAGAAAAACGAGTCAATTAGTTTGATCGGTCAAAAATTCACCCTAAAATGGAGAGCTCGAGCTCACCCTATTCAAAAAATGGCTAAATTTTCTAGCCCAACTTGTTTAAGAGTGAATTGGCAAGTTAACGGGCCAACCAACTAAAAACTAAACAATTAAAAAAAAGAGTACACCGTTAAATGAATGAGCCAGTTCACTGAAAATTAGTAATAAATAAATACCATAAATAATAATAAAATATTTTTAAATTATTTTTATATTAATAAGTTATATTAATTAATAAATAATTTTTAAAAATAAAAAAGCTTGACGGATCAATTAGCCTGTCTCACTATTGATATGCATTTTAGTGATCTAAAACGGGACAAATCGATAAATCTACAACATTTAATTCAGCTTGCCAATTTTAGTGGTTTAGATAGACAATCTTCTTCGTTGATATCTTAACAGTCCTCATGGTTTGAGCGTTTGAAATGTCATCGTACTTGATACAAAAAGGAAGTTACCATGTCTTGCGGCACCAACAACATTTTTTCATGATATTCACTTGCTCCTCCATCGTCTTTAACCACATCTCAACGTCATTTTATTTTTATATAGATTACAATCTTATAGATTAATTTAGTAATTTACTCAATTTTTTGTTGTTCGTCATCACCCCTATTTTTTTTATATCACTTTCATCACTACTATTATCACTCAAATGTTAGATTATTTTAATAATCTTATTACAGTGACCTATGTCACTTATGTCATGGCTCTAATTAATGATTTAATGTGATGGTAGTTAAATATAAAATATAGAGTCATTTAGGGTATAATTCTAAATACAATTATAAGGAAACATTCTCCTCTCTCTTCAGAAAAATAAAAGAGCCGTTACTAAATAGAGGTTACATAATTTCTCTATATTTTTTATAACTTTCACAATCTCTAAATGGGCTCACAGTAAAAGTAAAATCACTTTCACGGTCTCTAAGTGGACGTAAAAGTAAAAAAGAAATTTTCTCTCAACATCCGAGAAGAGCTAAAAAGAGAAAGAAGAGTTAGAAAAAATTACAAATAGCTCAACGACATAAAAAGAGATATAATATTAAATAATAATAAAGTCAAGTTAATGCTCTCTAAACCCTTAATTATGTAAAAACTATATATTGTATTGTGAAAATAACGTAATTTAAAATAAGTTAAGAAATGATAATTTTAGAATAGTTAAATCAAATAGAAATTACATAATGAAATAAGAAAAATCTAACATCAAACCCCATATCCTCTTGGCACTATGCATACAATAGTGCTTAGCATTGTTGGGACGAAGATTTGGTCAATGAAGGGATACGATGTTAGGATGACAGATAGACTTTGGATCCTCTTTCTTTCGGGATTTTGTGCAGGGTTGTAGGGTTTATGGATTTAGAGTTGAGAACAACAACAACAAAGATATAAAGACCGTTAACAAAGGGGTTACAATGCATGGGAGGGAAAAGGGCCTATACAAGTGCTTTTAGGTCAAAAAGATAGGAGAAAGCTTAATCCTTTTCTTTTTAACTCTTTGTTGCTGCCAATGACATCATCAACTGATTTTTTTTTAAATAGGATAATTTGAGAATCTATTTCTCATTACACGGTTATTGAGAAATAAATTCCTTTTTTAGATAGGAATGAGTAAATGTATAAAAATTATTGTCGACAAATTTTTAAGTTTTTAGTGTGGATTTAATAAATAACAATATAATTTTTTTAAATATAAAAATAACAGTATCAAACAAATAAAAATTAACAGTTTATTTTCCTACAGTTTAAGTGTTTACAGTGTCATCAAATAAAAATACTATACACAAGTGTCGGTTGAAATTAGTCCGACACTTGCGTTGTTGAATACTTTGAAAGTATTTCCTAAGGTGGAGGAAAAGGGTCTGGAGGAGCAGGAACAACTTATGGAGGTGGTGGCATCTGCATACCAGAGTGAGATGGCCTAAACTGCTAGACTTGAAGTGGAGGCATGATGGTTTGACCTGGCTGTTGGTGGTGCCATGCCAGTATCTTGAGGGGGTCGCGGACGGAGGGCAGGAATAGCAGCCGGAGCAATCTCATTGGCGAAGGGGCAAGGAGGCACTGGAGTAGCAATGCTGCCATTAGCCTTTGCACTGGCAAGTGTTGGAGGCCCACTCGCAAATAAAGTATGAGGCCTCTGTGCACTTGGATCTTTCAGCCAAAACTTTGCGCCATAATACAAAATTTTTAATTATACAAGTGTTAGATTGATTTTAATTTACGCTTGTGTGTCATATTCTTATTTGACAACACTGTAAACATATAACAGTTAAAAAAAAGTGCTGATTTTTATTCATTACTGTTATTTTTATATTTAAAAATTTGTATTGTTATTTATTAAACTGATATTAAGAATAAAATAAATAAATAAATAAAATGTGTTGTCAACACTTTTTAGGATATTTGTTTATTCCTATCTAGACAAAGAATTTGTTTTTCAATAACTCTATATTAAGAAATAGTTTCTCAAATTACCCTATTTAGGCAAAAACCTCATCAATTAAAGCCATAATCACTAAAAGATTATTACCAACAACCCATACATCATATCTTTAATACTGTAAGTTACAGTGGCTCCTTTCATGTCAAGGACAATAACATTTTTTACATGTAGAATACGAATACTGTTAAGACTTCAACGAAAAGGATTGACATCATGGAGTGATTTCATATTAGGAAAAGTTAGCTAGTGAAGAGATAGAAAACAAGCATAAAATGATATTGTTTTGGCTACTTAAACAATGTCAAGTAACACTTCAATCAAATTTAACACATGAATGAAACTTTTAATTAAACTCAATCTTGCTCTTTAAAATTTATATAATAATAATTATTACAGATAGGTGATAAAACCAAACCATAAATTGTAATTAACATATTTTATCTTTTTACTTTTCTACTATTTTAGGGGCACTTTGTGCATTGATTGGATTTGAATGCTATTTGAACTCATACCTACTTTGTCTCAACTGTTGCCAGAATAGTAGAAAAGAAAAATAGAAGTAACTGCTAAGCAAAGCTCTATAATATTTTGTCAGTAAAAAGTTATATATACAGTATTATTACATATTTTTATTGTAACTTTTAATGTAATTTGTAATAAAAAAATTATTCATTAATTTGTTGATCAACATTCTTAGAGTACTATTTAAAAAATTCAATTATTATTATTAAACTCACGAATTAACTTGTAAGATTATACTAATTTTAAACTCATTTTCTTATAACTCGTTTGAACTAGACTTGTTGAAATTGCAAGTTCAAGACCGTTTGAATTAGTATTAAGGCTCCTTTATTTCTCACAACGACAACATTTGAATCTTTTTTAAGGGTATCCTTTTTGTGTGCAGTGTCATACTGCCCTTAAGATTTGAACATTTGGTCCTATATGTACAACCTTAAGATTTGAACATTTGGTCCTATATGTATAACCTTAAGATTTTGAACATTTAGTTATTCAACAAAGAGATGCTTGTATGGTAAGTGTAATAATCAATTACTATGCTCTAATGTAACAGCGTTAAGCTAAATATGAATTCATGACCATTTAATCATGAATTCAAACACGCATTGAATATAAGTTACCCGCAAATTTTGCTTTATGGATTTTGTGTTGTGCTGATAGAAACACCATTCTCTTAGAATTAGCAACTATGGTCCCTATGACAAATGCATTAATACACAAAGCAAATAGCTATAGAGAGGTGGATCTTCATTCAAACATTGAGACATTTTCAAACAAGTTTTCTTATAAATATTCATAAATTAATTTATTCAAAAATAGAGGATGTTACAGTTACAATATGACTCTGATCCAAACACTACATATACAAATTAATGTAGAGGTTGATTACACACACTGATCATAGTTGATTGAGATGAAATATGTGGGGGTAGATCCTTGACTTCTCTACAAACCATGCAGCACAGAAGACTGAAACGAGGCATGACCCAATGGAACTGGCCTATCAGGTAATTTGGGAATGTCAATGTCACCCTGTAACATCTTGAGGGCCTCAGCAATGCTAGGCCTAAACGCCACAGTTGCATGAGCACAAAGCATTCCAACAACTACAAACCTTTCCCTCATTTTCTTTGGTCCTTCTCTGATTGACTGATCAAAAATTTCCTCCATCTTTCCGGATTCCACAAGTGTCCATACCCAATCTGTGATTGAATCTGCCGAGAAATTCGAAGAATCCAGAACTCTTCTTCCACTCATGATTTCGAGAATCACAATACCAAAACTGTACACATCACTTTTGTCATTAAGCTGCCCATATAGAGCATACTCTGGTGCCACATAACCATATGTGCCAGCAACCCTTGTATTGAGATGAGACTGGCCCTCACTACTTTGCTTGGCCAAACCAAAATCAGCCAATTTAGCATTCATTTGGGAATCCAAAAGTATATTTGTAGCCTTTATGTCACGGTGATAAATTGGGGGTTTGATTTCATGATGCAAATAAGCAAGCCCCTTAGCAACATCAAGGATTATGCTCTTTCTTTGTGGCCACGTTAACATATTAGCCCCAGCAAGAGACAGTTGGAAACCGAGGTTCCCATTAGGCATAAAATCATAAACCAGAAACCTCCTCTCACCTTTCAAATTATCACTTGTAACACAACAACCCTTGAGAGCGAGAAGATTCCTGTGCTTGATTTTGCTTATGATCTCCACTTCATAGACGAACACTTCATCTCCCTTAGTTTCCAAATCAAGATTTTCCTTAACAGCAACCAAAGTGCCATCTGATAGGGTCCCTTTGTACACAACTCCATCACCACCTTGGCCAATTATATTCCTGTGTGAAAATTTATCCGTGGCTCCTTCAAGCTCTGATATGTGAAACCATTTTGCGCCAGTATTAGGCAAAATACCGGCCTTAACATTGTCTTCAATTTCCCTGTGATAAATCTTTTCCATCCTTCTCTTATCCCTCTTCCTGTACAAGACTATAATTACAGAAGCAATCATAATAACACCAATTAGAGCACCCAATAAAGCAAAAACCAGCTTCAGCACTTTTTTTCTGTTATTTGATGAAACTTTTGTTACTGTACTAGACGGTTCTGACAAGCCTAGTATGCAACTAGTGGTGCTTAAATCTGTTGTACCATAGGGATTAACAACAGCTGCAGCATACAACACTATAAAGTAAAAACAATCAGAACTAGCATTTGGGTCAATACTTTTCAGTCGGTGAGTGACTCTCAAGGCAGCAGCAATGCAATTGTCGCAACGACTTAGGTCTTGAAGGTCACCATTGCAAGATGTGTCTAATGGACTAGACATCCCCACCTTTTGCTTCCAATCTTGGAGAGTTCTGATGCCTGCACAAGCTGAAGAGTTTGTAACAAACTGGGCAGGGTCAGGGAAGCATAAAGGGAACACCTTGGGTTGGATTGACAAGGCTGAGAGCTTTTGTTGGAAATCAGATAAGCAAGAGGAGGATGTGTTTTCATCAGGAAGTCGAAACAAGGAAGTGTCTATGAGGTGTTGGCCCAGGCCTATGCCGAAGATACTGAGCAGAGTTTGGCAGCAGAGTCCCTTCTCAATTGGGTCTCTGCACGATGAAGTGTTCCAAGGAATGGCATCAACGTAGCTGAGATCCATGGGGCATGAGGAAGATGCAGCACCAGCCACGACAAGTGTGAGAAGGGACACGATGAGGGGATTAAGCATCACTCGCTTTTCCATTTGTGAGTTTGTGATTCAGACACAAACATTTCTTTTCGAAGCCTTAAAGGGTTTTACTGGTCAAACTCGGCTGGCGTTGCCTTATAATAACATATTCGGTAACATTTATGTATTTTATATAAATATTTTGTTATATTTTAAGAGTTTTGTTTAATTATTGAGTTTAAATATTTATAAATAAAAAAATTTATAAAAAATATATAATTATTATTATATTGAAATTATAAAAATATAATAAATATTTTTTAATAAAATTTTATTATTATTAACTATTTATTTTTAAAGTATACATTAACAAACCTATATTCTAAATAGCATTAGCAAAATTTTGTCGTGTGACCGAACCACATTTGTCCGAAATAAACTTTTAATTTTGAGTGGGTTTCAATGAGTATTTGTATGAGTAATTTATTTTATCGATAACTGAAACTTATTAAGCGTTGACTCTCAAACAAACATTGGTCACCACTGTCATCGAACTTTGGGCACAACTAAGTTTATAACACAAGACATTAACACACCAAATGCACATGTATTATTATTATTATTATTATTATTATTATTATTAAAAATTAAATACGAACATTGTGATAACTTAAAATAAAAAATTAAGATAATATATTCAAACTAGTTGATTAGCTTTACAATACTCGTGCGACAATGAGCTTTAGAAAAAAATTTAAAAATATTTCACTAATAAGTCTAAAAAATTATCTAATTAATTTAAGGTGGTTCAACTCCTTAATTATCATCGTTAAAAGGAAAATATAATTTATAGCTCTAGTACATTAAAAAATAAATTAGTAGTTTTTAAAATTTTCATAATTATCAAGTATTCCATACTTATTTTTTATTATGTCTCATAATTTAGTATTATTTTATTTTTATAAAATAATTAAAAAATACGTACTCTAATTTCTTTAACATCATAACTATAAATATGATTATCTACTTAGCTTAAGAAAAACTTTTTAGACTATTAGAACATTACTATGAATTAGTCATCAAGACTTTACATTTACTTTATCTCTATCACTTAAAAAATTAATATTATCTTTTTTACCATTAAATTTTTTTTCAAACTCATCGTTGACTTGACGACAAAATACCTTTCGAACAAATTCATTCTTTCACTCGCAAAGAGGAAGTTACTCATCCAACAAATTTGAAATGCAATTAAATATTGTAATATCTATATTCATTTATTTACACGGTATATTTGTGTGTTTAATATTATTGTTTTATATTGTAAACTTATTTTTTTTAAGCTATTATATTTTTCTTTTCATTTATGAATTTAAACAAATGTTATTATAATTTACAATATTTAACTTTAATATCTTAATGTTAAATTTTATATTATATTTATATTTTTTTATCTGATTTAATCTGAATTTGATCAAGATCGTGCACTTAACTTAAATAATACTAAGTCGTTTACTACTCAAACCCACCTTTGTTAATATATTTATATTTTTTGTGCTTAGTATAATGTTGCATTATATTCAACTTGTTTTCAATTAAGTTTTCTATATTATATTTAGTATAATTTCATTAAAATGTTGAAAAATTATGTTTTATAACTAAATTGTAGATAAAGAGAATAAATATAATCTAGTGACATGGATCAAAGTTGTTAGCCACCAAGTATAAGAATGGATATAATAATTTTTTAAATACAAGTATAGAAATTAGCATTATCGAGATCTGTCATCACTTGCTATCCTTCTACATTAGCATTATTATTCCCTACTTGCTAACTATCACTATACACAACCTTGTCCATTATTGCAACTATTGTCACTACTTAATATTCTTCGCTGCTACCAATATCAGAACCACTTGAAAACTTGACACTTTTCACTATGACTACTATTATTAAATACCTTTTATGTTTTTTTATAATTTAAAAATAAATAATATATATTTTAAAAATTATAGGCTCAAATATGCTTTTAGTTATAACACTTTCATAAAATTTAACTTCCTAAAAGATATTATTAATTTTAACCCTTAATTTTTTTTAAATTTAAATTTTGGTCTCCCTTGCTTATGTCACCCAACAATTTAAAATTGACAAATAGACAAAAAGCCTAAAATTGTGAAATCTATAAAAGTCAATGACTAAAATCAATTTTTTTTTTGAAAATGCTAAAACAAAAATCTCACAAAATGGTAAAGACTAAAATATATTTAAACAAAAAATATATATTATTTTTAAAAAATATTTTAATAAAAAATTTCTCATTTAAATAATTTATATCTAATCCTATCATTATTTTAACCATAAAAAATATATAATATAAACCATAATACTATTTAGTAAATTATCTAATACTAATCAAATATTGTATTGGATAAAAGCTTCTCCAAATCATACTATTCCATTTTTATTTAATTTTTTATTTTTTGCATTTTTTTTAGTAACGGTCAAACATGCATACACTAAGTATTATTTTATAAGTTTATCTGAAAAGAAAAATTCCTTCCTTCTCTCTACACTCCTCAAATGATTTTAGTTTATCTTTGTTGAATTAACTATGTTTTTTCATTCCTTATCTTCACTCAAAATAAATGATTAAAAATTAATGATTTTTTTAGAAAATGACAAGATATATAGTTATTAGCATTTTAGAATTTTTCAATGTTCCTTTATTAAATTTATACTTCTATTATTATTTTGTTTAAATGATTAATATATTATATATTGCAGACGTTTAAAAAGTTTTAAAATGAAACCAAATCTAACATTGGGAAGAGTGAATTATATCTTTATTTGAAAGAAAAATCACTTGATTATGATAATAATGAAGATTTATATGTGTTGGAAGTCTAATGTGAAAAGTTTCCAACACTTGCAATTATGGCACGAGATGTTTTAAGCATTTCAATCACTATAGTAACATTATAATCTGCTTTTAGTATTGGTGGTTGAATTCTTACTAAGTATAGAAGTTCCACCCATTCTAATAATGTCCAAATGCTCATTTACACTATAAATTGGTTGCATAGTTTTATTCCAAATCTTAATGGTAATAGTTTTTTTTTTCTAATTATTAAGCATTCCAATCACTACAATTTTTTTCTAATTATTTCTCAATTTGTTGTGAGTTTTAGATGAAAATTATTGTAAACATATTTGTTGAGGGATGGAGGAATTGAATATGCACCAAGAAGATAAAATTGAAGGCTAATGATGAATTGAAGAATAAAGACTTTTGATGTTTTATATTTTCATTATTAGTATAAGAATGTTTATATTGTTGATTTTATAGGAGTGTTATTAGTTGTAACTATTCATAGGATATTTGTTGTAATAGTTAAAATTTCAAGGAGGATGCCAAATTGTTTTTAGTTTCTATTTCACCATTTACATTTATTACCGATGAACCTTTCTGCTATGACAACTTTATATTTTGATAAGTATTGTATCATTGAATAGAGTTTCTAGATTATTATTGTGAAAAGGATGGCACTCACAAATATGTATTGATTGATGCTGAAAAGATGTTGAGGGAGACTGTGCTTAGATGGTTTGTTTTCCATCACATCCCAAGAATTGATTATGTTAGTCACTCATTTAATTTCTTTTTTTATTTACACTTTTTTTTTCTATTTTTGATTTAATATGAATGTAACTTTGTATGTGTTCAGCTGTGTTATTATTCTTTAAGCTTAATTTGATAATTATTCTTTAGTGTGATGAATTGGCTATTTCTTGCTTGAATTATTGCATATTGTTTTGACTTATAAACATGGTGATGCAATCCTTGGATTTGATGATATGTGTTCTTTGTATCCATATAGTCATATAAATGATATTGATCATATGCCTATGTACTTATCTTAGCATTTAATGGATAGGTAAACTTGAGTCACTTTTCCCTTTTTATTTGATTTAACTTGTTTGATTTGGTTGAAATTGCATGTATCATGAAAAATGATTAAAAAATATTCTGAATTTATTTCTTGTTTCCTCTTAGTTGAATAAAATAATGACATTTTGATAAAAATCATGAACCTCATCTAATTGACATTACTCTATTCCTAGAAGTGAATGTAACAACTCGTAACTATTGTAACTATGCACAAACTTATTGTCATAGTAATAGTTATGGACATGATCGTGGTGATAATAAAAAAATATACATTTTTCACACCAGAAGTGAAAAAATAGTGAGAAAATTGAAAAGGGTAAAGGTACCCAAAGTGGTGAAAATATAAAAAACATATGCGTTGTGGAAGCAAAGGTCATTGGTCATGTATTTGCCGTACACCAAAGTATTTATTGATCTTTATCAAGAATCACTTAAAAATAAAGAAAAAAAGATAGAGACAAATTTTATTTGTGAAGATGATAACGATTCTATTTATGATTATATGGACGTTACTCATTTAGATGTTGCTAATTGTTTTGTTGATCAAGATGAAAAAATAAATTGACCATCTCATTGGTGACAGAAGTGTTTAAAAATATGTTTATTATTATTTTAATTAAGTAATTATGTTTTTTCTTATATGTTAATTTATGTTTAATATTTTTTTCTTTCTCTACAAAAAAAAGTTAGTGATTAAAATAAATTATCATATATTATAGTAGCTCTTTCATTGATATAATTGTTATTTAAATTAAATTTTAATATATTCAGTGTAAATAAAGAATAAAAATAATAATTTTCACCATTTTTTTTAGTATCTAATTTTTTTATTATTATTATAATGAAGAATGAATGTTCTTATTGGTGACAGCAACAATAAAGACATATGTCTTGTTGATAGTGCAACAACTCACACAATTCTCAAAAATAAAAAATATTTTTCTCATTTAATGATGCAACAAGTTAATGTGTGTACTATATCTAGTAGTACAACGATTATTGAAGGCTCCGGTAGAGTTAATATATTTTATCTAATGGAACAAAATTATACATTGTTAGTACATTATACTCCACTAAGTCTCATAGAAACTTATTAAGTTTTAAAGATATCTGCAAAAATGAATACCATGTTA